CTGACCGATATCAGGTACAGCCGTCTTTGCTGTTTCAGCGGTTGCCCTGTCTGCTGTTCCTGAGGGCACAGAGGTCTTTATTCTGTGCACTGAACTGTAAGAAACTGTACATGTTACTGTTACTGAATGATGAGATCAGCTGTGTGGTGCAGATGGCAGCGCAGCTGGGGAGTCTCCCACAGGTACTGTCAGCTTCAAAGTCTGAGCCGCCTGTCTCACCAGAACCCCGAGGCTCTGATCAACCTGCAAGGTAAATAATCTCACTGAGAGATTACAAGCAAGCTGTGTTCATTAGTAATACACACAGTAGCACAGATCTCTGAACTGTTGTCTGTCAGGTAAAAAGGTTCATGGCCACCGTCAGTCCTGTGTCACGTGCCTGTTATGTGTGATACAGTCCTTCACTGCAACACAGTCGATTTTTAATTAAGCCGTCAAAATGTGACTGAAATGGAGACTTTCAGCTTCACTTCAAGGGTTTAATAAAAGTACTGCATTCATTGTTGTAGGAATACCAGCCATCGTTATCTGCAGCACCTCCTGAAGCTCAAAAGTAATTGGACAAACTTACATAAGTATGATAAGGTTTCAGTACTTGGATAAAACATGATTTCCTCTGTTTTCTTCTTTGAGATGCCTCAGGGCTCAGATAACAAAGACAATACTTAACACCATTTTAAATACCATGGAGGAAATAGATTAAGAGGCTTATTTTATTTTATTTCATCAAAGATTTAAACAGGACAAAAAATAACCTTAATAGCTAAACTAGTTTTAAGTTTTCTGATGTGCAAAAAATACAGCAACAAAACAGCAAAGTCTGCAAAAGACAACTGATTTAACATGTTCTTATGTAGTGCAAAAAACCCCAAATACAACAGTGTTTAGGCTGAGTACTGATGACTTGGTACCATTGTTTCAGTTGTTGCTGTGTATTTTTCTCCTTTTTATTTTTTTCTCTGTGGTGTTTTCAAATGTACCGTAGATTTCATTTATAAAGGTAACACACTGTGATCAAGGATCATATCACTGTGAATTAAATCTCAGTATCATCTTCTTTAAATACA